TAGGGAAAACTATGTCCAAATTTTTAGAAAAAGTTTGAGATGATTTGGATGCTAAATAGACCAGCTAGAGGCGCAAAATTGGCCATTTTTCATGAGTCTTTCATCTGTGAGTCCAATTTAATTCTATTTTGAGGTTTATTATGATTTAAAGGTTAGAAATAGGTTTGATCACAGGGACTTAAGATTGAATGGAGGTTTTAATTAGGAGAAATGAGTTCCTTAATGCATGAATAATAGTCATTATTGGCGGGACAATAATGTGAGTAAAAATACTCAATATTTCAGAGGCGTGGATTACCGGATTCTCTGAGAGGATACCAGAGAGCCTCAATATTAGTTCTAAGGCTCTAGGTAATTAGAATCTCACCTGTGTCACCATAAAAGTCATGCATATGCTATGAGTTTTAAAATTGTGATATGTGAGTATACGAAATATGTGTAATTGATATTGACATAATCATGCATACATGCATTATGTAAGATATGTATTATTGATCATATTAAGAAGGGAATGAATATTGAAGAAAATTAAATGATGGTTCTGTATCTTCTGATAGGTTTTGTGTCTCCAAGGAGACTGCCGGACCTTTTGTAGCGTGGGAAGCTTCTCCGATGATCACGGAGAAGGATTTGTGTTTAAATATGACTAGCCCCATGTTATATTAATAAATTTGCGATCACTGGTCGTTTGACCTTTTGTCTCATTGGAGATTTGTGGTGTGGGAGGCTTCCTTGATGGTCACGAAGAAGAATTGATTTTAAAATTTGAAAATTGTATTTTGCCGCACATGATGGCATTTGATATTATATTTATTTTTATGGCCACAAGGTTTGATGAGGTATCTGGGTTACCACCCCGTCGAAGAAAAACCTTATTTTCGCACAAAAGATAAAAGAACGAACAAAAAGTGAAATGAAATATCTTATTAAGTCATGAGCTCATGCATAATTTCATTGTTGCTATATCATGCATTATTCTACTTACTGGGTGATAGCTCACTCATTTTATGGTGATACAGATGAGGGTACATCCCAGCGTTAGTTGTGAATTTGATTGTTGGCTGGCGCCCTCCTGAGGAACGAGATTGATGTACATGGAGTACTAGCTAACATGTATTTTGGAGGCATAAAAGAACGAACAAAAAGTGAAATGAAATATCTTATTAAGTCATGAGCTCATGCATAATTTCATTGTTGCTATATCATGCATTATTCTACTTACTGGGCGATAGCTCACTCATTTTATGGTGATGCAGATGAGGGTACATCCCAGCGTTAGTTGTGGATTTAATGGTTGGTTGGCGCACTCATGAGGAACGAGATTGATGTACATGGAGTTCTAGCTAACATGTATTTTGGAGGCCCTCGTTGTACTTAACATAGTATAAGGTTGAGCCTATTTTTGACAGATGTATTATATTGTATATGTTTGGCCAGCCAGTTAGGGTGTATTATATATATTTTGATTATCTTTGCTAGTTAAGAAGTTTTAAAAGTTTAAATTTGCCCATATTTTCATACTTAATATGTGTAACATGTTAAGTTAAGTGTAAGGGAATGTTAAGAAGTAACACTACTTAATATGACTAATTGGGTAATTTAGGATTATATTAAGGGGGGATGTTACTCCACTAAAAATTTAGAATTGCACTCTCGAAATTATAGACATAATTTACTTTCAAGAATATGAAGTGTCCATTTGATAAAGTCACTACATATAGATCAATGCTCCATAAATAATTCATAATTAGAGCTAGGTGAAATCCGTTAACCCCTCTAATTACATATTCATCCCTGTGTACCATTAATTTTCTAATGGATAGTGATTCATAAAATAAATTCATGAATCGGAGCTCCTACTAGTCCAAATACTGAATCAACTTCAAGGGAATTATTTTTCTGCTTCTTTCTCAAGAAGGAATGCATTCCATCTTGTATATTAATTGTAATGACTTGAAAAATTAAACAAGTTTAATTATCCTAATTGTGATTTATTAGTGTGCCTAATCTGCTTTTCTTAATTAATTATGCTCATTAAGCATTATCTTATCTTTAAATTTTAAATAATTTCAAGAAATTTTAATTATTTTCAGCATTTACAATTCCACCCGAGAAGTATGTGGAAATACATACTTCTTTTCTTTTTCTTTTCCTTATATTTCTTTTCTTTTCTTTTCTTTCTCTCATTTCTCTTTCCGTCTCTCGTCACTCTCACTCTCTCCCTTCCTCACTGACTCTCTCTCTCTCTTAGCTCTCTCTCTCGTCCCTCTCCCCTGCGCTCTCACTCTCTCTCACGTCTTACTGTCTCTCTCTTTCTCTCAAAGTTCTCCCTCTCTCTAAGGGAGTTTTGAACCAGATCTGAACCAAAAAGGGAGATTTTCAAGAAGTTTTCAACATCAAATTGATTTTTGATGGATTTTGAATGAAACCATGATCAAATTTAGAAGTTTTTGATTCTTTAAAGTTGATTTGATGATTAGAACCTGGTTTTGTTGATTTGCTATGAAAATATCTCATAATCGAACCCGAAAATGCAGGTTTTGGCGTTTTTCCTTCGCGATTCGGCCATTTTTTTGGCCTGACAAGCTCCCATTGGGTGACCGGGGTGGTTAACCGGTCACCACTCCATGGCCAACCGGTAGAGTTACACTCCACTACCACCGGTCGACCGGTTTGCACTCCTCTCGACCCATAAATGTTCAAAAACCTGTTATTGACCCCAAAACTCAATGGAGAACCAACTTAACTTCATTTGAGAACTCAAAGTGAGTGGATGAGCTACATTAATCCTTGTTCCATTCCATTTTCCTTGTTTGAATTCCAAATTCTCAAGGTGAGTGGATCAACTTCATGTGAGTCAAGGCACGCTAGTATGATACAATTGTACATAATTGAACTAGATTCGTTTTAGAGGTGAGATCTTAACTCTAAAACATTATTTTGAAGCTAGCGGCACGATCGGATGTGGAGCTTCAAGAATAGACGGTGGGACAACATGAAGTTATCTGTAGACTAAATATCCGAGAGGTAGGATATTCTTGTCCATATCCTTGATAACCCTGTTTAAAATGATTTTGGCCTATGAAAACATTTTAAAGATAAAACGTACTTGATATCATTGAAATTTAAAGAAGCATTTTAAGTAATATTTTCTTGAAATAAGATATTTTAAAAAATGGTAAAATGCATGATGGCCTAGAGATTGGGTTGCGGTGGTGATATCATGGCTTTACGATAAGGTAAGTGACTCATCTTAATCTTGAAATCACTTACTGTAAAATGAAACTTGAGATTTATGATTCTTCCCTTTCTTTAAAAAGGTTGTTTGGTTCCGAATGATATGTTCGAACCATGAATTCTTGTTTATTGATAAAGTTTTATGAAATTATATCATGCTGGGCCATTCGCTCACTTTTTCCTCTGATTTCAATCTATTAAACCCCTCCCAGGCGACGCTAGAAGTAGTGCCGAGTAGATAGTGACCACCGGTGAGGTGAGCCGAACTCAGGAAGTGAAGAAGCTGTGAAGTATTTTCTTCCTTATAATTTATCGCTAAGGCATGTGTAACTCTACGGTTTGTAACCTTAAATTCTACTAGACTGTGGCTGATGTCAGTAGACTACCTTTCTGTTTGCTTATGTATGCTACAATATGGATTTTCCTGTGAGAAATCCCAATGTGATGCCAGAGGCTGACTTTTAGAATTAGTCTGACTATGGTATTGAAAAACGCACCTCACTTTTCCTGAAACTTAATTTCCTTAAAATAGTGGGGTTTGTTTAGAAATTCTTTAATATTTTATCTTTGAAATTGATTTTAATGTTATTAAATGTTTAATTATGTTTCTTAATCCTGTTTAATTATATTTCTTAATCCTGTTTAATTTCTAAACAAGTCTCCACGTCACCAACCCTTATTTAGGGGCGTGACATTAACATTCCTGGTAACTCACTTCATCATGTCTCCAAGATACAAGAAATATGATTTAACTAACTCCGTACTGAGTAAGTCAAAAGATACAAATCCATAAATGAGAGTTTACTACTTTCACACACACAAAAAGATATGTCTCTATATAGAGCACTTTCTATTATTTATTTTCTCATGATATATATCAATACTTTACTTGTGTTCTAAGTAATTATTATATCGTTAACATGTTCAAATAGAATTTATATATACTTTATGGTAGGGGACTGCAAAATTCAAGGGAATATTCCTAGACATGTTCAACATTGACGAAGAGATAACAACTTGGAACCTACAACTTTCAGAAAGAAAAAACGTCAATGAAAAGGCTTTTCTTTTCTTTTTTTTTTTTTAAAGAAAATCTACACTGTGGTTAGGAGCCAACTTAGATATGATATTTCTTTCTTGAATTGAGGTTCAATTATACTAATTTTCATATAAAAGAATTATATGTCTCTATATATAATACTTTTTGTATTTATGCCCTAATAATGATACGAATTATTTCCTCAGGTCTATAATGCAACAGCACTTAAGTAATTCTTGATATATATACTACCTTATACTTTATGACAGGGGACGACAAAAATTCAAGGAATATTCCTAGACAAGTCCAAAATTGATGGAGATATACACTTGGAGCCTACAATTTTCAGCAAGATGCATAATTTGAGATTATTCAAAATTTACAATTCCTCTTATGTCAAGAAAGACAAAGTGTACCTTCAAGATCTCCGGTATTTTTCTCGTTCACTTCGGTATCTTGAGTGGCACGAATACCCTCTAAAATATTTACCGTCGAACTTTAAGCCAAAGAATCTTGTTGAACTAAAGATGCCGTACAGTCAGCTTGAGCAACTTTGGGTTGGAGTCCAGGTATATATCCTACACTGTTGAATTAAACCTAATTTATAAGGCATAGTTTAGTTATACTTGTCATTTCTTTATATTACAGGAACTTAACAAGTTAAGAGGCATTGATCTAAGACAATCCATTTACCTAACTCAAATTCCGGATCTCTCTAGCGCTCGAAATCTTGAGAGAATAAATCTTGCATATTGCAGAAGTTTGCTTCAATTTCCGTTGCATATTCTGCGAAATCAGCCCATCTAACCGGAATTTTCTATAGTTAAAAGAGAATGAAACTAGGAAAGAAAAAAGAGCTTTTTGATTTTCATGTTTGCACACGGCTTCTTGGGACTCTTAACATCAGCCCATCTAACCGCAGCCCATCGATTGTAGGCCCATGGTAAGCCCATCTTTCAAGGACATTTTAAAAATTTGCCCAAAAGCAAAATAATAACCGATTCGAGTTAAGATATGACTTTATGTGAAAACTTTTCACTGTAATAAAAAAGTTAGATGTGGCTGTTTCTGAGAGCTTTTTACTGTAGCAAAACTCGAATTGATGAAATGAACGGGACCTGAGTGTTATCAGATTTGAAAAAAAATCACTTTAAAAGAGCAAAACGATGCAAATATTTATTTTTAATTCAGTTTATCACCAATTATAGCATATATCAAATTTAACACTAAGAAAAACATTTTATTAAAGACGCTAAAATTTTGAAATTGATATCTTAATTTGACACTGCCTTAGAGATGCCTTGACATTATGTTCTTTTATATTTCTTTTTCTTTTCTTCTCTCTTTCCCCTGCTTCCGAACAACCCTTTTTTATTTTCCTCTTCCAACATCTCTTTGCCTTCTTTCTTCCCTCCACTTTTCATTCTCACCAAACATAGCGTCAAAAGATTGCTTATTATACGAGCTGGGAAAAGAGGAAAAATCATAAATAAAGCAAGAGAAGTCCCATATTTCATAACCTAATACAATACAGCAAAGGTACGTTATTATAACAAATACATATTACACAACAAATCACAACAAAAAACATCCTCAACAACGTATCATACTAAAGCAAATCAAGCATCAGACCATGTAATATCCAAGCCACCCCAATCCTCACGACTCACGCCAAGAGCTTTCCAAACCGCTCTCGACGCGACGACGATGTTGTTGGCGCACGGAGGCTGGTAATCATGCTCAGCATCACACCCCACAGATGAATCACACTCGTCAAACAACCATGGCCACCACACTTCTCCCCTTAGCGCGTATGGTGATGTTGTTGAAGCACCTGCTTCCGCTGTGGAACCACCCCGTCGACAGCGCCACAACCGGGGTGTCATCGGGGTGGTATCGGTTGTCACACTTGGAAGGGCTGCCCCCATCGCCGCCCTCCTCGAAGCTGTTGAGAGTGAGGTAAGCGTTGGTGCGTTTGGTCACCCGCGGCGAGCATTTGTAGACTTTGTACATCTTTCCTTCGATGCAGCAGAGCTCTCCCTCTATGTCGCACTCGCTGCCTGATGGATGCTTCTTGCCTCTTACTTTGCCGCTCGGACGACATTTTGAGGCTTCAACATGATGTGATGAACAAATAGTTAGAAAGAGAGTGATTCCCACAAGCATTAAAATGTAAGTTGTCTTTGAGATATTGGCGACGCCTTTCATTTCTCTCTAGCTAATTTTTCATGTTGTATTGGTATTGAAATAAATTTTGTACTCTACTGTATTCGTTTCTGATAATCAAAGGCGTTATAAGAGGTAAAAAAAAAAAAAAAAGTTATGAAAAGCTATGTCAACGTGACTATTACGGCATGAACCCAGCGGTTTTACAAAAATATTCCTATTTTTCCAACGTAACTTGTACGTTTTTTGGAGGTCAAATCACAGTGATTATGCGCAGAAATCCAAGTTTATGGCAAATACAAACAATTTTCTTGTATATAATTAGCGTAAAAGCAATTGCACATGCCATTGTTTTGGTTCATTCTCTAAACGATAAAAAGATAGATTAGGCATGGAAATATTCTTTTCTTGTGAATAATTCTTTTTTTTTATTTTCATTTTCATTTTCATTTTTTTAAGGCTGTGTTGCTAAATGCTAAAAAAGGTAGTACAGATTTTAAAATTTCAGCTGCATTTTTTCTTCAACAATTTGAGAATATTATAACATAAGATTTTTTATGATTTTAAAATTTCAGCTGCATTTTTATCGGCTTATTATATTTCTATCTCTATTAGCTTTTATGATTGGCCGCCACAAGAGACAGATTGACCAATGTGTGTGTGTGTGTGTGTGTGTGTTTTTCTTTTTTTTTTATTCCACGTTAAAGTATTATAGTTATGGCTATTAAGAATGCAACTCATACACTACGTTGTATGAGCAGTATTCATAATAAATGGCGTACTCGTTCAAAAGAAAGGCAGCAAATTTGTCATTATTTAACGTAAGGAAAGCAGTTCTTTCCAGTAGCTATATATATATAGCCAACACATCATTATTTAATTATTTGTTTGTTTTCCAAAATATTTCTTTATTTTATTTAATTTGCAACGTTACTTGTAAGGAATGCAATATCATTTTAAAGAAAGACTGCAAATTTGTCATGGTTCAGCATAAGAAAGTTATTCGTTCCCGGTAGCCATTATATATATAGTCACCCATAAATCAATTTCTACAAACCAGCCTAATATTAGTCCATTACTGAATCTGGAGTGTACTAGAGAAAATGAAGAACCATATTTCTAATTCAGCAGTGAGTTTTCTCATATTGCTTCTTCTTGCGACCAACTTGGTCGAAAGCTGCAAGCCTAGTGGCCGAATAAGAGGGAAAAAGCCTCCTCCAGGGGAATGCAACCAAGAGAATTACTCTGATTGCTGCAAAAAAGGCAAATTCTACAAAACTTACAAGTGCTCACCAAAGGTGATTGGACACACAAAAGCAGTCTTGACACTCAATAGCTTTGAGAAGGGTGGAGATGGTGGCGGCCCCTCGGAGTGTGACAACCAGTACCACTCTGACAACGAAAGTCTTGAAATCCTCCACTAGTTTCTCATTGTTAGTGGCAATAACAATATCATATGCATAATTTAACAAGGCAATAAAAGAGGCTCCATTCCTCTTAGTAAACAAAGAGTTGTCCGAAGCAGCTTGTTTGAAGCCTTGTTCAAGTAATGCACTTGAAAACTTGGAGAACCATTGGCGAGAGGCTTGTTTAAGCCCATAGAGAGACTTATGTAACTGGCAGATAGGATTAGGTGGTAAGGACTACCCCTCACAGTGATAACCATGAGGTAAGGACATATAAACTTCCTCTTGGAGATAACCGTGAAGAAAGACATTATTTACATCAAGTTGGGTGAGAGACCAACTATGGATGGCAGCGAGGGCAAGAAGGACCTTAACAGTCATCATTTTAGCAGCAGGGGCAAAGGTATAGAGGTAGTCAATACCTTCTGTTGTGTGTATCCTTTTGCAACGAGACGGGCTGTAACGACCTTAACTTTTGATCATCATCCTAAGTTCACACTTAACCTCTACTACTTACTAGTTATAACCTCTTAAAAATTCAAGCCAATTTTTTTCATTCTTACCATGTACGTCTAAATGCTGTAGCATTTAGCTAGCCTTCTGTTTTCAACTATTCGTAAAATGCTATAGCATTCTAATAGCATTCTGTACATTAGTCATTCTCAAAATGCTGTAGCATTCTCACAACATTCTGTTATAGTAGTCATACCTAAAATACTGTAGCATTCTGATGGCATTCTGTTACATTAGTCATCAAAATACATAAAACACTATTTTATTTTACACATAATGTTCAGCAGCGTTTCCAAAACACGTGATGCATCCATAACCCACTTGCCCACACTCCACTGCTGCATCCTCTCTGCATGCCCAACAACAAGTTTCAGGGAGCCGGTGCCTTACCCGAGCTTCCTACAACACGAACAAACTTAATGAGCTTTCGCTCAGCAAGTATCAATAGGTCATAACAGATGCAATAATTATGCATACCCATATATGCATTCATGTCATATATTATAATACATTCTGTACTACTAAAACATGTATGGCTTATGTTCTTCTTCTTTCATTACATTCTTTGTTCTGCTTTTGTCTCATTTTAGTCGTTCACATCGTATTTTCACATTTTGAACGACTTTCATTTCGTGTTTCTCATTCTTTTCATTCTTCTTTACAGATACCATACCTTTATATGGAATGGTTTATGTGTTTCATTTTCTTGTCTTTTACTTCTTATGGGCCCTGTCCTGTTGTACCATAGCGCGCATAACCAGTGAGGAGTGGGGTAGCTAACCAATCCAACTCAGTCACGGTTTCATATTTTTCATAGTCTCATAATAACCTTTCCTTCGAAGGCTGGTACAAACAGAACGTTTAGTCTCTTACCGTTTATCAATTTTCTTATTGAAACGGTAACTTTAGTTAAATCTTATGAATTTGTGCATTATTGAGCAATTTATCATGAGATTAACTTTCTGTTAAGTTTAACTTTTTCTTGTAACTTGACATTTACTTAACATCGATACATACTTTTCACAGAATAAAGTTCTATGATTACACAAGTCTTGTAGATACATACTTTATATAGTACCTAACATTCACATTGTATCTAACATTTAAAATTCTACTATATGCGCAATTTTTGTGCAATATAGAAAAGTAAGCTTGTTCGTGATATAGCCATAGAAAAACTGTTGTACTTACCAAAGTTTCTCTATCAATGCATTATTTGTCTCACTTGACGCTTTCTGACTTCAGCCGTTAATCGATCCTATTGCATAAATTTTTCGATCGTTAGATTCAAAATCTAAGATCAATAATTACATTGAAATTTACGTCAGAAAGGTCTACAATTCTTATGTTTGGTATTCAACCTCAAACTATTTCCTATCTCAAGGATTTACATTAAAACCATGCAAATTACTCAGTCATGGGCCTAATTTTCAGTTTCAGTCTAAAATTGTGAATTCTCATTGTGTTCGATTTCTAACCATCACCGATTATCGAAACACCTTTCTTTTCACACTTTAATCCCTTATGCCTCTTGAAATCCAGTTTTAGTTCAAATTACTCAAACTAAATTTCGGCAGAGTTCGGCCTATTTCTGCATGTTCCCCGAGCCAACCTTAGCTCGTTTTATCCGTTGTTTCCCCCATCAAACACCAACCATATCCTTTCTCTTTCAAAATACCATAAATCTTAATCATGGTTTTAGGGTTTTCTCAACTTTTCCAACAAAATTCTCTATATCAAAATTGCTAGAAACCAAGGTTAAATAACCAAAAATCTAACCTTAGATTCTTAGATTCCATGTTCTCAAACCATTTCAAGCAAAATCCTTACCTCTAGAAAATTTTTCCCTACTCTTCTCTACACATCCACGGCAGCAAAGAGAAAGGAAAACAAGAGAAAATCTTGAAATCTCAAATTAGGAAACAAAGGTCAATCTCTGGTGGCGCGATGCCTCGGTTACTCCGTCGATTTTTGGTCTAACTCACTGTTTCTCACGTTGGAATTTTTTTTCCTCTCTATTCTTCTTGGATGCTCTCTGGTTCTTTTCCACGTACAAATGGCCATATATGCCTTAGTTCCTCACTTGAACTGACTATCACACAAGCAATGATTAATTTTGTAAACTTTGACTTTTCAACCACCGTTTTGTAAAAAAAATCACAAATATCTCAAAAAAATCTTCAATTTTTACTTCTCCATTAAGCCTTGGCCAGCCACACTATGTTGCCACATGTCCTCATCTCAGCCACTCATCAATTTAATTACTTTAAATCCTAGCCCTCCATTTATAGTAATTATCTCATTAATTTTTCATTTAATTTCCTGTCCGGTGTGCGTTTTATCTGCGTTTTTCAGACAGATGGTCAACTTAGTCAACCTTGACCATTCTTGACTAACTTTTTGAGGGCGATGTTTTGGTTGACTCTTGGTCAACAAATTTTGACTTGGTCAACTCAAATTAGTCGAAATCTCAATTTTCTCAATTCGGCCTTCCGAATCCCTTTTTCGTTTGTTTTTCGTTCCGACTGTTTCCAAAACCCTAGAATTGATGTCTTTCAATTCTTTTCCATTTCTTAAACTTATCATTTATGTGTTTACCCACTTGTGAGCTTAACACAACATTCCATACTTCTTTCTTAAATACAGTCTGAAAATCGGTAATTGCATCGTAGTTCAGAAATTTCTGAATTTTAACTTATAACTTGCTATTCCATACATATATCAACAAATACTTATGTGACGACCCTAACTTTTGGTCATCATCGTAGTTCAGAAATTTCTGAATTTTAACTTATAACTTGCTATTCCATACATATATCAACAAATACTTATGTGACGACCCTAACTTTTGGTCATCATCGTAGTTCAGAAATTTCTGAATTTTAACTTATAACTTGCTATTCCATACATATATCAACAAATACTTATGTGACGACCCTAACTTTTGGTCATCATCGTAGTTCAGAAATTTCTGAATTTTAACTTTGTAAAAATATTCGTATTATAACTTTACACTTTTCGGGAGATTTTACCCCGTACATAAAGTTTTTACATAACATTTTCTTAATTACATCAAAATTCTACTACTTACTATTCCGAAAAGAATTTCGGTCAAATACTGGACTGTCTGGATGAGACCTAAATTTTTTCTGGTCATTACAACTTATCATAAAAACATTTATATTAATAATACAAAGGATTCTAGGAAATATTATCCTATATAATAATTATGATAAATTTCTCGGTCATGACACAGGCTTTGTAATTGAGGCGACCCTCCTTTAAGGCCGCCATTGTGTACTAACTTTTTAACTTGTACTTACTGAAATTTCTTAAAATTTACGGAATATTTTTTTTAAGGTCTTATAATAAACATAAGTACGAAATTGCTTTCTTAATTAAGATATTCAAACCTTAACATATCTGTTTTAGAATCATATTTAACAAAACTATTTATAACATAAAGCTGATTGCGGAAATATTAGCGAGCGATATCCATATCCCGAGCCCCACATTGTTCTTCCACTCGCCGGTAGTCCATCAGGCATTATATGCCGGTTGCTTACCTACAGTATAAACATTCTATAATGAGCTTTCGCTCAGTAAGTAGGAACTACCTCTCGCAAAATAACTGTAAGTTCACATGAATAAATATGCATGAGCCAATTATGCTTAATTATGATGTCTTATCAGAATCTTATTATCTTATCTTATCTTATCTTATCTTTCTTTTGGGCCCGAGTGCTCGTACCACTTGTGCGCAATCATCGGGACGTGAGGGTTTGCAAGGTCCCCCACGACACCGAGATTATAATTGAACTGAATGCCACCCTTGCGAAGGACATTATTTTTTTTTTCTTTCCTCCCTTGCGGAGCTTGAGTCACCTCCCTTGTGGAGGCTGGTACGGCACACAACTGAGATCATTCATATAAGTTCCTCTTGACTTATTAAGGTGTATGCAATATGACCTAGCATAGCATACTATATCATGTACTCGAACACATATAATTCAGGTGTACTACTTAAGTGTATGTAGTATAACATAGCATAGCATTCATAACATTAAATGTACTCAAACATATATAGTTCATGTGTACTGTTTACTTTAAAATCTATTTATACTGTAGGCGAGATTCCTACTTACTTGATTTTCAAAGCTGGAATCCCCCTTTTGCCTATCAGCCTAGTCTCTTGCTTTCTTTTGAAAATGAACACCCATTAAGAGTGTGAGGTTAACTGTTATTTGCTATTCTATTTTAGCAACTTATGAAGGAAAATCTAACCCTTTCCATAAAGCATATATTCCTTTCCTTTACTAAAGGATAATAAAGATTAATTTATTAAACCCTCAAAATCTTATTTTCCTTAATTTCCCTTGGTATGATATTAAGGCCCAATTCGGCCTAGGACTTATACATGGCATTCTAACTTTTACGCCGCTGAAATTTATAATCCAATGGAGTCTCTTAAACTAATGTGGGCGTTGGATCCACATTAAATCTTT